AATAGGCGATATATATAAAGAAGAAAATATACGTCAATTCGTTGACGTTGTGATGAAAGGTACAAATAATGTTGGCGTTGATTTGATTACGGCTGATGGCGTAAGTCAGACGATTGTCCATTCTTATATATTATTATTTTATCTTTGCTCAGATTTTATGGTTTAAACGTGTACCTAGGGATTTGATGTGCGGGGTAGAGAGTCCCATCAAGAAAGACTTATTAGAAGATTGTTATTGTGTCAAATTATCACGATGTTTATGACACTGCAAAAAAGTAATTTACGAGTTTTTGTTTTATTCTTCATTAACATCACATATCTGCAACTTGAAGGTTGTTTTATCCAATAGATGGCGATTTTGTGCTGAAGGTTTTTGACATTTTCACACCATTTACCGCCGGATTGATATGGATCTTGTATCGGCACTTTGAGAAGATATGTATCATAAAGCCATTGCCAAGTCGACCCGCTAATTCTGAAAGGTTTGCATCCAGAATAAAACCCGTTGAATTAATTAAAATTAGGTTTATTCATGTTTAATATACCATTTGTCATAGATATGTGGTGTGTCGGAATCTTAAAGAATTTCACCCTAAAATAACCCCATACCTCCTGGAAGTCAATAAAAAGTTCGATGATCTCAGATCCTCCACATCATCATCGTCGTCAGGCGAACGTGATATTAATGAAATAGTAGAATTTGATGTGATAAAGAATGACGAAGAGTTCATGAATTACTTGGAATCTAGTAATATGAAAATCGCAGTTATGCAAACAAATGCACTTAAGGATTTGCAAAGGTATATTGATGAGCCGTATCCTTTTCGTATATTAAGTTGCTGGTAGTGTTGTGGTATGTCTATTATTGGCAAGATGTTATCTTTGACCTTGGCATCAATAAATAGTGCTCTTGAGATACCCAATCAAGACGAATATCGAAGACTTTGTTTGCAAGAGTGGCGGATCACGAAGGCTGAGGAGTAATCTTTTGGAAGCAAATCCATAATAGTTTTACGAGAAAAGTTACTCGAAACACCTCAGGCCGCAACTCCGTCCATATTAGATGTGATGCGAGATAGTTGACCGGTTTATCAGAATTTTGGTTTCATCACATTTTATATTATTGAATATGAAAGTAGCTTAAGTCCTTAGATAAATAATGAATCGCTTTAGTTAGTCACGAGGCGAAGAAAAATAAACAATCAAGATTTCAGTGTAGCTTTCTAGGTGCTCTTTATTAATTGGAATCAATAGTATTTACAACATTATCGAAAGGAGAATCTTTAACTAACTCTCTCATTGTATTATTGGATAAGTTTAATCTAATGATTTCATCCTTCACTTCGTTCGTCCAGAAGATCCTTGTTCATCGACCTCAGTCTTGATTATGATGTATTTGCAGTTGTCGTCCTCAACTTTAACGACATTCTCTGCATCGGAATTATTATGCCTTTGCTCGCCATTTCCTTTTTTTACGACATGAATATCATGTTCTCTCGCTTTTCTCTTTTTCCCCATCGCGCTTTCAATATTCATTTTCGTGTCATGAGAATTGTTGCTTGTAACCTCTGATAGGGCAATGCTCTTATTAACTGATGGAATTAGAAGATTTCGGGCTATTAACCAGGAGGCAGCTCGATAATGCAAGTGAAGAGCTGCCAATGGTTGAAGAGATGTTGGTGCTAACAGAGATTCATGCATTGGTTGAACGGATATTGGTTTCTCGCTGAATGATGTGGAGAGTTTCAATCCCAGGTCGGCTCGGCTCTCCGGGATTTTTGCAGACCTAAAGTCGATATCTGCAGGGATAACATTTTGGCGAAGATGCATCGCCCGATAGAAATAGACAGAGACCGCACCCTGGCCACCGACTTCAATATTTTGATCAACGGAACCATCGTCAACCCAGAGAGTAATATCGAACATAAAATTGTATATCTTTCCTTTAGCATAATTATAAAAACTTTCTCTGACGTTTTGAACACTTGAAGGGCCGGTATGAGCGGAATATGTATTATCGTGTTGGCCATCGACATAAACGAAGGCCATTACAGGTTCTTTGCATAGTACACGAGATGGAAGTCTGTATCGAATTTTAAACGGAACGCCAGGCTCAGTTACGGCTGCATACACCGTCTGGTTGTTCTCTATTCTTTTTCGCGTAAATTCGTTAAAAACGTAAGACGGACCTGTTGTGGATTTTCCAGCCTCAAATGGTTCCACGCATTCTTCAAGCGGCCGGTTGTTCACTAATATTTCAAGCTGATAATTCGAAAACAACATGTCTTAGCGCGTTAGACAAAAACTTGGAGCATTGTTTTATATACGCGTTATTCATTCGATCCACGTGAACGATAATCATCACCATGTAGTATAAATCGCGTTTGCAGTTCCTTTTATTCCTGTAATGTGAAAAAGGAATCATAAAGGTTAGTAAGAGAAATTTACGCAGAAAGATCGGTCTCAAGTCATTGAAATCCTGTAATTTAAATACTGGCAGACTTTTCTCTATTGCAAAATAAATCTCAAACACTGGCACCAATGCACTGGAACCGAGAAGATGCTAGTAGATATTTAAAGGTTTGTGATGATTTGTTGACAGTTTTTTACATAGGTTTGTGTTGATTGTATTTTGATGAACTCGATTAAATAAAAATTAAGTGATTCCTTGAATTTTAGGTCCGGGTTTAACTGATTTCGATTCGGGATCGTTAAGAACGAATTATCCTATGCGACCCGAAATGGGTATAGGTTATTATGAAGTTAGTATACTGGAAGATTCTAGGTGGACAGGAGGAGAAGGGTAAGCATTAAAAATTATTTAATTTTATTTCCGTACTGAATATTAACATTATTCTAGAATAATAGGAATTGGGCTCGGTAAGCGACAGACACCTATACGACAGATCCCAGGTAAGCAGCTTGTATTCTGTTTTGCAAATATTTTTTTGAAAGTTATTTCTTTTATTTATCTCCTCCTCTTATTTATGTCAAGGCTGGTTTCATAATAGGGACACAATCGGCTACCATGGTGACGATGGATTGAAATTCCGTAAGTCCGATTCCGGTGAATTTTATGCTGGAGCCACATATGGTACGGGTGATGTTGTGGGATGTGGAATAAACTATATAGATCAAAGCGTGTTTTTCACAAAGAACGGCATTAACCTAGGTTTGTATTTGAATTTTCTTGTACGAAACCTGTGATTCCTCATTTACTATTAATATCTCTAATATTTTGCATCAATATGGAATAAATCCTATCAAATAACAACTTTATTCTTACAGGTGCCGCGTTTAAAGTACGTAGTCACGTCTTTTACCCGATGGTCGGCTTACGAAGTCGTGGAGTTGTGGTTGAAGCAAACTTTGGTGCAAAACCGTTTAGATTCAATCTTGATATGTATAAGAGTTTTTATATGTAACCAAATTATAATTAGTGAGTTTCCTTTTTCATTAAATGAAATCGATTTATACGTGCGTTTCATGTTA